GTCCTGTCCCCTAATACTGAAGCAGAGGCCGCGTGACCACTCGGTGGGCGGCTCTAGGACACTGAACTCTAGATTCCCAGATCCGGACCGACAAGGCAGGTACTCCAAGTGTTTGTCAACCGACTGAGTGAGGAGCCGGCTCACCTTGAGGTGCCCCAGGTGCATGCGGGCCCGCTCACACATGTGCAGGAAGTACTTGACGTTACTCTCGTCCACGATGATGTACACGGCCACCTTCCTCTTGAAGCTGGCATCCAGCAGGTCCTTGAAGATGTCCACATCGGTGAACATGTCCATGACCACAGCGATCACCTGTGAGCAGGAAGGGAGACCGGGGCCGTCAGGGCACGCGGCCGGGGAGACAGGTGCCTCGCCAGGACGCCTGGCCCTCCCGCGCCCACCACCCTCTTCGGGTGCCCACCCTGGCCCTGCTCCCTGCGGCCTCGGGACTGGGAAGTGCCGGCTCTCCTGGCCCTGAAGCTGCAGGCGTAGGAAGGACGCTCATGGTACGAGATGCCCAGTGGGTGGCGCAGGCTGCGCTCTCCGGCGGCAGGGAATGGAGAGAGGCACAGTTCGCGGGCTGCTGTTTCGGTAACACAAGACCATAGAAAACAAAACCCAGGCGAGGAATGTGTAGGGGAAGCTGCAGCAGGAGCGCGGGGGGAGTGGGAAGGGTGCGCGTCCTGAGATTTGAGCGTCTGCCCCCACCCCCAGCCCCCGGGCAGCCCTCGCCTCTGCCGGGGCTCAGGGCTTGTCCAGGAGCCCTGTTTCTATTCCTGGGTTGCATTCCCGAGCCGGGCAGGCCGCACCATGCCCTCCGCCCGCTACACCAGGATGCTGAGATGGAGCAGATGTGTCCAGGGCAGGGAGGAAGGTAGAAGCTGGGGCCGCCCACCGAGGTCACCCCTGGGTCCCTGGACAGGCTCCCTCGCTGCCACCTCTCCTTCTGGTTTGGATACACCCCAGACCACTACATGTGCTCTTCTTGTCATCTGACCACACCTGGGCCACAACAGCTGCCCTCAGCCTGTGGATTGGCTCAGGGTGGGGCCCCAGAGGTCAGAGTACATCTACCCCAGCCCAGCCACTGCCCAGCACGGGTGGTGATATGCCCAGGCCTGGTAGGCAAGGGCCCTGGCCTGAGCCAAGGCATGAGGAGGGAAGGGGCACACGTAGCCCAGGGACAGGGGGTGCGGTAGTCAGCGGGCTCAGTGGCCGGCAGGCCCTGGCCCTCAGTCTCGCTTCTCCCCTCCCCTCCCTGTCCCACTGGGCAGCAAAGGGGAACACAGCAGACCAGGGCCCAACGCTGCTGACCCGAACAGACGTCCAGCCCTCCCACCCGCCAGAGCCGGCGCCAGGGCCCCATCCTGGGTCTGAGAACCCCCTAGAGGAGCCCTACCCAGAGAGGCGGGTAGGGGTCATGCGCTGGGCCACAAAGCAAGCTGGGGACAGTCAGGCTAGAACCCACCCAGGCCCGCCAGGGAGCCAGGGTTACCCCCACCCCTGCTAGGAGTGTGACCTGGCAGGTGGCCTGGGGCTTGCCAGGGACGTGCCTGCACACTCCCGTGAGCTCACCCAGCTGGCCCCCGCAGGTCCCTCTGGGCTCCCCCTGGGCCCCGGGCCCCTGCTGACGCTGGTCACACATCTGGCACCAAAGCCAGTACTTCTGGGGGCTCCTCCCTGCCCTGCCCTCCACGGACGGGGTCTCTGTGTGACCCTGAGCAGACACCTAGCTTTTCCAGGCCCAACTTTCTCACGTGGGACCAGCCAGGACTCCCCGGTGCTGAGGCCCAGGGTCTTCTGTGACCCCTGGGGAAAAATAGCTCACTGTCTGAGTCTCTGAGGGATGTTTCAGGCAGGGCAGGGGGAGCAGGTATAGTCTGTGCAGGGCCTGCGGTGGCACAGGGGCCGCAGGGAGGTGGACGGCAGCACCAGGGGAGGGGGTATGCTCTCTGACCCCAAATCGGCCGGGTCTTGAGAGGAAGTGAGCTCCATGTCCCAGGACGTGTGCAAAGGCCAGAGCTTGCTTGAGGGGGTGGACGAGAGGACAGATGAGACATGGTATCAGAGCTGGTGGGCTCACAACGCCCTTGGGCTCCACCGGTCGAGGGTGACGGGACCCCGAGGTGGGGGAGGGGTGACAGCAGGGACCCTCTTGTCTGGACCTCACAGGCCTACAACCACTCCAGCCCTCCTGCAGGCCACAGCCTCACGTGCCAGCCTGGAGACGGCTCAGCTGACACAATTCTCCTGGGAGCAGGTCTGGTTCCAGGCTCTGCCCACCGTGGCAGACAGGGACTTGCCCTGGGCCGGGGCTGGGGGACGTGCCCCAGCGAGACCCGCCCCATGTGAGCCTTCCCTACGGCGCCCAGGCAGGCAGGGTGCCCAGCCCAGGCTGCCTGCTGTCGGGCTGGGACTGCCGGGGCCTGCCCCCCACAGTGGAGCCCCACAGGGTCCCAGGCATTGGGCTCGGTGCTGAGGGTCAAAGGAGGGCTTGTACAGGTGCCAGCTGAGCTGGGGCAGGAGGGGGCTTGGTGCTCCCAGGGGGGCCCCCGCGGCTTGTCCACGGGTGCCACAGGGTCTCTTAGAGGCCTCGAGCCCTGCGTGCCCGTCCCCGGGGCCAGAGACTCCAGACAAGAACCCAGGGCCCTGCGCCTGGCCCGCAGAGCCTTGCGCCTGACAACCGCTACCGCGTCCAGTCCAGACTAGAACCCAGGGCCCTGCGCCCGGCCCGCAGAGCCTTGCGCCTGACAACTGCTACCGCGTCCAGTCCAGACTAGAACCCAGGGCCCTGCGCCCGGCCCGCAGAGCCTTGCGCCTGACAACCGCTACCGCGTCCAGTCCAGACTAGAACCCAGG